AGCCTGGTGCAGGTCTACAATTTTGTTTCTGGTGTCTTTCGACAGCTCTTTGGTCTTCACCATAGGGGAGTTTGGAGTGTTTGAGGTTGTGGACAGGTGTCTTTTATACTGATAATAAGTTCAAACTGGTGCCATTGATACAGGTAATGAGTGCAGGACAGAGGAGCCTCTTAAAGAAGAAGGTACAGGTCTGTGAGAGCCAGAAATCTTGCTTGTTTGTACGTGACCAAATACTTATTTTCCACCATAATTTGCAAATAAATTCTTCCCAAATCAGCAAATGTGATTGTCTGGATTTTTTTTCTCATTTTGTCTCTCATAGTTGAGGTCTACCTATGATGCCAATTACAGGCCTCTCTCATCTTTTTAAGTGGGAGAACTTGCACAATTGGTGGCTGACCAAATACTTTTTTGCCCCACTGTATCTGGATGTGTTAAAGTTTAACTGAGGTCTTCGGACCTATATTACACCGCCCGTATGTCCATGATCTTAAGACTCTTGGACACGTGACCCCACCCTGCTGCTTGGCATGGCCGGAGATGTCACTGCCCGATTGAGGGATGGCAGCTCTGGTTTCCATGTTTCACAGCAACAGGGTTTGATGTTTGATTTTTCTGTTTTTTCAGGTATGGCACATGGCCCACCTCATCCATGTTTTTTAGTTAACCTTTTAATTGTAGAAGCTCTTAAAGCTTTACCTCTGTTGCTTTCTATCTTTTTTCTTTACAAAGATTTAGTACATGATATTGGTTTTGTGATGATTTGTGGATGTCCTGGCACCCACGCTGGGGTCTGGATGCTCCTTCAATTGTCACTACAGATTATTGTTCTGTTTGTTATGGATCTGCTGATTCTAAAGTCTAACCAAATAGTTCTCAGAGATGTCCTGTCAATATGTACTTTTATGCTGATAGGTATTATTTCCGTTTGCCATGGTTATTCAATGTATTTTGCATAATGTCCAGGGTTTCAATTCACCAAATAAGCGCAAAACAGCCTTTCTTCAATACAAGCGATTAGGGGCTAAAATTATTTTACTACAGGAGACCCACTTTGCAGCCACAAAACACCCGACATATTTTCATAAATCCTATAGGCAGGGCTATTACACTTTACATTCCTCTAAAAGCAGAGGTGTAGCCATTTTTTTGCATAATTCATTCCCTTTTGAGGCTTAACATGTGTACCATGATCCGGACAGTAGGTTTATTATTCTTAAAGACACCCTTTCGGGTCATGAACTTACGATCGCTAATATCTATGCACCTAATTCGGCACAAGCTTCTTTTTTTTCTCAATTTTTTAATGTTCTGGATAGGTTTTTATCCCCCTATCTATTGGTGGGTGGTGATTTTAACCTGGTAGTAAACCCGCTTTTGGACCATAGCTCCCCTCGCAATCTTCCCAAGCTTTCCCAAAATCCCTTACTAAAAAACTGGATGCCCTCCAGTTGGTGGACGCCTGGAGGCACATAATGTGGGAGCTAGGGATTATTCATTTTATTCTCACCCACATGACTCTTATGCTAGATTAGATTATATCTACTGTACCCCCATTTTACTAACTAATTCTAGGCAAGCTTTCATTCACTTGAGTCCCTGGTCGGATCACAATATAATAGCCTTATCTATCATGTTTATAGGTTTGGCACCTACCCCCTACTCTTGGAGACTTAATGACTCTATGCTCACTGATATTAACTCTCGCCAAGAGGTGGTTACTTCTATTCAAGAATATTTTCAATCTAATTCTACTCCTGATATATCTCCAGCCACACTTTGGGTAGCACATAAGGCGGTCCTACGTGGCTGCATTATCTCCATGGCTTCTTCCAGAAATAGAAAATGATGGCAGCAAATTCTACAACTTACCCGAGAATTAGAAGCACATCACAGAAGTCACATTGGGAACCCATCTCTCCTCAATAAACAGCTATTATCTCAAAAGCGTTTAGAATTGAATACTCTACTTTCTCAAAAGACCGAAAAAGCTCTTCACTGGTCGAAGGCCTCGTTTTTATTACACAGCAACTCAGCGTTGAATCACTCATATCTATAAGTTACGCACTAACTCTGGCGCTGTATCGTCTCTTCCTCAAGAAGTTATGGGTATTTTTGAAAATTTTTGTTCCAATCTATTAGCTTCTCCACAGTCGAATTCTGTTCCACCACCCAACTCGTGGCTGGATTCTATACCCCTCCCTGCTCTCTCACTTTCTCAATTGGCCTCTCTTAATGCCCTTTGTACTTTAGAGGAAATAACCCGTGCAATTAACGTGTTCAAAAGCACCACTGCACCGGGTCCTGACAGATATACTGCTCATTATTATAAGCACTTTGCTTCTACGTTGGCTCCCTATCTGATAACTTTATTTAATGATGTTTTGCAGGGAGGTAAGTTTCCTGAGGAGATGCTGCTGGCTAATATGTCTTTACTGCCCAAACCACAGAAAGACCACCATTTACCACAAAACTATAGACCAATTTCAGTAATGAATAAATGATCTGAAATATTCAGCCGCATTTTGGCAGACAGATTGGCCCCTGTCATCTCCTCTTTGGTCTCTCCAGACCAATCAGGTTTTATCCCGGACAGATTTATCACTGATAATATTCGCCTTACTTTAAACGTTATTCAAGATGCCAATTTGCATTCTAAAGAGGTTTTGTTGCTAAGTCTGGACATTAATAAGGCCTTTGATAGTGTTCTTTGGCCTTACTTGTTTACATTGCTGCAAAGCATGGGCTTCAATGATGAGATTTTGTCTGGTATACACACCCTATATGACTCTCCTAAAACGAGAATAAGGCTTCCCGGATGTAACGCTGACTTTTTTACATTCGGTAAAAGTACCCGTCAAGGTTGTCCTCTCTCACCCCTATTGTTTGCGCTGGTGTTGGAACCCTTGGCAATTGCAATCAGATCACACTCAGATATCTCTGGTTATCCATTATTAGTCTCACATTTCAAAATATGCATGTATGCTGATGATGTAATGCTTTTCCTCACTAACCCGTTAACTTCATTGCCTAATTTATGCACGGTATTGAATGACTTTGCTAAAGTGTCAGGTCTTACTGTTAATTTTACCAAATCGGTGATTATGCCTGTTAATATTCCTGATTCCCTAAGTGCATCTCTCCGTAGCTCTTTTCCATTTCGTTGGGCCATGGATCGGATTTCCTATTTAGGTATCAATCTCACTCCCAGATACTCAGATACATTTGCTGCTAATTACCCACCATGTGTGTCGCACCTTTCTACTCTATTGAAGATTTGGCATGGTTACCCCATTTCCTTTCTGGGTAGAGTCACGGTGGTCAAGATGAATATTTTGCCCAAACTACTTTATCTATTGAGAGCACTTCCAGTCCCGGTTTCGAAAACATTTCTGGATCACTTTCAGCGGGTTATTAATAATTTTATCTAGTGTAATAAACATCCACGCTTTACCTCATCTGTTCTGTACCGTTCACAACGGACGGGAGGTCTAGGTCTTCCCAATTTTTGGCTATATTACCTCTCAGCCCGTTTTGTACAATTATCACAATGGGCGACTGTAAATTCTCAGATCCCCTGGATTAGATTTGAATCTCAGTCTATACGCCCATTTTATTTACCTGGTATTTTGTGGTCCAAAATCCCCCCTCGATCGTTCACTTTTCACAATTCTATAGTTACCCATTCATTGACACTTTGGTCCAAATATACACTTAAATTAAATCTGGTCTCTTTGGTTCCTCCGGGTGTTTCGTTTTTTGGTGATCCAAATTTTATTATGGCATTTTCTTCCCCTCAAACGTTTCGTTGATGTATGATAGAATTCTTATTAAATTATCTGATTTTCAAAGGGGAGGATCTTATATTACTTTTGATATGCTGCGAGTACTTTTTGGGGTTCCGCTTCACGAGTACCACCGTTATCGACAAATTAGGCATTTTTTTCAGTCACATTTTGGCCTCATACCCTCCTCTCCGATCTCATTTTTGAACATATTAGCCGTGACTCTCCTAGGGGTAGGGGTCTTATCTCAGACCTTTTTATCAATTTTTGATCAGCTTCTCTCCCACACCCCCTTTATATAGACAAAGGTGGGAGGAGGATAGTGGTATCATTTTCACAAATGAGGAATGGGATTCTATGGTGGATAATAGAGATGAGCGAATCGAACCAGGCGAGGTGGAATTCGTTTCGAATTTCAGGAAAAATTCGATTCGCGGCGAATCCGAATATTAGCATACTTCGGGTGCGCGAATCGGATTTTTCCCGATC